AAAAAAAAAAAACAAGGTAAACTTAGAGAATGTAAAATAGAAATACAAATCAGCTAATTTTTGGTTCTTTGTTAGCAGGTCTGGAAAAAAGTGAATATAGAAAAGATGTTGAACCCAGTGATAAAATGAGGCTTGAGGTGCAGTGTGTGTGTATTTAATGCTGTGTCAATGAAAGCCACATGCCCAACTAAGACTTAAAAAAAAGCCAGTGTAAAGTTACAAGTAACTAAAACCTAAAATTATAGAGTGTGCATAGTTTTAGGGAAACTGCTCAATTTTTTTAAGTATGTATATTGGTTGCTGACTATCACAATCTTCTATTTGAATTAGGTTATGGTAAATAGTTAATATTATGAGGAAAATAATTCCTTTATTTTAAAAAATCTTATTGAAATAGTCTAAGGGACTAATTTCAAGTAATAAACATAGAATGAGAGCATTAAAAGTACTTTGTGAAGACTCAGTGGAACACCAGAGATCCTTCTAAAAAAATTGAAAAAATTCTCCCTACTCTCTATGGAAAAACTTCATAAAATATCCTATTAAGACACTCATTTTTCTCACACCTAGTAATGGAAATACATACTTAATAGCTTACCTCTTCCTCTTGGAGGGTGTTTTCATCAGAAAAGCAGTTGTCTAAATTAATTTCAAACTTTATCCCTCTCTTGAAGAAATCAAGAAAAAAATCTTAGTTTAGTGACCCAATAAATTTACAACCCCCTCTTGGACATTTCAGATACTTAAAGTCACCAGTCTAACATTACAAAATAAGGCAATTCCATAAAATATAGGGAGGAAAGTCCTACAGGTAACCCAGATTACAGTGTGGGGACTCCCAGCCAGGCTTTTAATACGAAACCAAAAAACAAAAATGTTCATTACCTTAGTTTTATATTTCTGTTCTGGAGTTACACTTTCCTTTATGTTCTGAAGTCTAATCTGTTTCAAGTCTCTTTCAATATCCTGAAAGTTTAGAGAAAAATAAATATCTATCATTTAATATTGATCAGACTGTTACATTTTTAACAATCCCTGAATCAAATAATGTTTGATATCTGGATTGAATGCAATGACTGCTTTGAGATAAAAACGTGCCCTTGTAATGGATAATTAACAATTCACTAAAAGCTTGGGCACAGTGTCCATTAACTTAGAATAGTAATACATTTAACACAATGGGTACACTTCTATAATGTGACAATGCTCATCACTCAATACAACCTAATCTAATTCAAGAATGTGATTCTGAATCTAGGATTATTCCCTTAAGCAATTTATGATCTTAATCAGGAATGCAAGAAACATATACAGCTCTTGAGAACATAAAGGAAGGCTTGGGCCTTAAAAACTGATGGCGGAGGCCCCCCCCTGGTGGCGCAGCGGATTAAAGCACAGCACTGAGAATCTAAAGCTGCTTCCACATGAGTTCGATTCCCGCCTGCCCTGGAGGTGACCACATGGTGTGGCAGACCTCTCCTGACCCGCCCGCTGCTCCCCTCAGCAGTGTACTTTGTCAATCTGCCTATTCTGTTCCCCGCTCTGTCTCTGGTGAAGCCTCTCACCGCTCCTGAGCTTCTGGCCTGTACCCCAGTTCTGTATGCTCAAATAAATCTTAAAAAAAAAAAAAAAACTGATGGCGGAGCCTCCCTGATGGCACAGTGGGTTAAAGCACAGCACTAAGAAGCTAAAGTCCTTCAGCATGAGTTCGATCCCCAGCCCCTAAGGTGACCCACATGGCGTGGCAGACCTCTCCAGACCTGCCTGCTGCTCCCCTACGCAGTGTCTTCGTCAGTCGGCCTGTTCTACTCCCCACCCTGTCTCTGGTGAATCCTCTCATCACTCCTGGACCTCTGGCCTATACCCCAGTTCTGTATGCATACATAAATAAATCTTAAAAAAAAAAAACTGATGGGCAATTCAAGGAGGAAAAGAAGACTATAAAAGCAGAGGACAAGGATGTGGAAAGAATTGTGGAGAGGTGACATTCAACACTGAGCTGTCCGAGATGTCAGTCCTGGGCCCTCGTTCTCCACTTCCTCAATACCACATGGACTCAGTCATCCCTATGGATTTAAATACCATCTTCATGAAACAACTCTTAACCCTGTACCTTCAGGCTTGCGCTCTCCCCGTTCTGCGGCAAGACACAATATACATTGAACTGTCTGCTTGGCCTCATCTTCCCTTTAATATTCATCCCACACATTCCTATGAAGTAGCCACTGCTGGCCAGCAGCTGTCCTACAAGTGCACTCACACTGTGATTGCGACCAAAAAGTCCCTGTTGACATGGAACTTCTATTTATTGGAGTAAGCTAGGTAACAACAGAGTTAGACGACTGACACAACTTCAGACAGTGTTACGTGCTATGAAAGAAATAAAGCAGGGCAATAACATGGAGAATGGCAGGGGATGAGAGTAATGCAGATTTATTTGGCATTTGACTTCAGCCCTGCAATGCCGTGGACCTTGGCAGAGTCGGTTGGGAAAAGCGTGTCCATGCAGTGGCTGCAGCAGGCAGAAGGCCCAAAGCAGCTAGGCAATCATTCAGATTTTCTTTAACTCAACATGTCCAGCGTAGAACTCTGAATTGTTTCCCATCTGAATTTTTTTGTCCCCCTCTCTTCCCCCATTCACTGTGCCCCAGAAATTTGAGTCTCCTTGACAGATGCAATTATAGATATAGGTTTCCCTCTTATCCAAAGTAAAGTATGCTTAATTGGTATGACTTGGGAAATGGTCTCAGAATGCTCAAAAATGACTTTTTTTTTTTTTATAAATAATGATGAGACAGGAAGGATCCCAGGACAAGGGCAGAACAGGGACAAAAAAATTGTAAGAAGTTTTCTGTTTTGGGGCCCTCTCTGGTGGCGCAACATTATGAACTTTAAAACAGGATTGTGACATATGTGTCTCACTTAATATTGTGAGGCAAGTTGACTGATTTGATCATGTATTCTGTTTTTCTCATTGTAAAGAGGTGTCACAGTGCTTTATTGTCCTTAAAATACAATTATCTTAAATAATAATGAACAACTATATACCAGAGACATTTTATGGGGGTGGAGTGGGGAATGGGATTAAAACGGTGGGGGGAGGGAAATGCACTGGACTATGGTGATGGCACACGGGTGATTTGGTCATGGGAAACCCGTGAGGATTACAACTAAGATGGAAAAAGGCACAAAAGGATGTAAAAATAGACTATAATATTATTTTTTAAAAATACAATTATCTTAAACTCTCAAGCCCCATCCACCCCTATGGGTAAAAAATTCAACCTCCATCCACTGTGGAACTCTCCAGCATCATACGCCATGAAGGCTCTAGGGGATTTCACAAAGCAAATCATTCAAGGGGGCCTTTCAGCATTAGCACAACCTGGGTTCCTCTCACCTGTCCTGAGACAGGCCCTCATGACATCTTGAAAGTAAAAGTGACAGACATTCCAAAAGAAACAAAAAACACAAACAAAACAAAAAATGTTCTTCAGAACCATTTGATTCAGCTCTACTCAGCTCCCTGCTTCCATTAAAAAACATAAAGCTGAAGGCCCTCCCTGGTGGCGCAGTGGGTTAAAGCACAGCACTGGGAGTCTAAAGCCACTTCCGCATGAGTTCGATTCCCGCCTGCCCCGGAGGTGACCACATGGCGTGGCAGACCTCTCCTGACCCGCCCGCTGCTCGCCTCAGCAGTGTACTTCGTCGATCTGCCTGTTCTGCTCCCCTCTCTGTCTCTGGTGAAGCCTCTCGCTGCCCCTGAGCCTATGGCCTGTGCCCCAGTTCTGTATGCACAAGTAAATAAATCTTTAAAAAAAAAAAAACATAAAGCTGAGACAAAAGAGATGTTTACTAGCAGATCTCTGACCAGTGCATCTGACTCTGTCTCAAACACCATCTGGAAAGATGAACTTGTCTACACTAATGTGAGCAGTTCTCAAACTTAGTGGCACACTAAATCACCTGGCCAGCTTCTGAAAACAAGATGCCTGGACCCCAGTCCAACTATTTGGGAAGGATCCCTAGGCACTTGACATTTTTTTTTCCCCACATGACTCTACTGCACAGTAAAGGTAAGAACTACCAGAGCATCTGTCACCTGCACAGGTGTGTCTTCCTCAGGTGCCTCTTGGTGGATGGGCAGGTTACTCTTCTTCACCAAATAGGTTTTATGGCTTATTTTTGAGTCCTCCTTTAAGACAAATTATGCAGTCAAAAGTTTGATTCTGGGCCCTCCCTGGTAGCACGGGTTAAAGTACAGCACTAAGAAGCTAAAGCCACTTCAACATGAGCTCGATCCCCACTCAGGAGGAGATCCGCATGGCGCAGCAGACTTCTCCTGACCCACCTGCTGCTCTCTGCAGCAGTGTACTTCATCAATCTGCCTGTTCTGCTCCCCACTCTGTCTCTGATGAAATCCTCTCACCATCCCTGCACCTCTGGCCTGTACCCCAGTAATGTACGCATAAATAAATAAATCTTTTTTAAAAAGTCTGATTCTGTGAACCTCATCCAGGGTTTGAATGAGATCTAGCAAGGAATATATTCCCTCCTGCTGGCTGAGGGGAGGTCAAGGAACTGACAGGAAGAGTCCCTTTATGGTGCCTTCTCATATGGCTGCCTTTGTGTTCCCAATACGTTTCCACAGTCTTCCAAGAAATGTCTACTCTCCATCTTTCCTAGACACAGGCTTCCCACCACAGACATGCCTTAAAAATAAGTCTGATGGGGCTCTCCCTGGTGGTGCAACGGGTTAAAGCACAGCACTATGAAGCTATTGCAGCCACTGTGGCATGAGTTTGATCCCCGACCAGGGAGGTGACCCACATGGTGCGGCAGGGAGGTGACCCATGGTGTGGCAGACATCTCCTGGCCCATCCACTGCTCCCCTCGGCAGTGTACTTCCTCCATCTGCCTGTTCTGCTCCCCATACTGTCTCTGGTGAATCCTCTCATCACTCCTGCACCTCTGACCAGTACCCCAGTTCTGTATACGTAAATAAAATAAAACTTAAAAAAAAAAGTGCTGAGGGCATAAGCTCCTCACCACTGACCAGGCCTTAGGTGGGGGAGAGCACCTTCATCCTGCATCCTGCACCCAGTACCTCTGCGTGGGTCTATGCCTGGCGCTGCCTCTCTTCTCCTCAGACCCAGTTGAGGGTCCATCTCCTCTCTCCTTCCATAAATACACTTCTGCTCATCCTGCTCATCTTTACTCCTCTGTGTCCAGCAGGAGTTTAGCTTTTAGAATCAGGTATTTATTTAGTCTTACAATATCTAAATGACTTTGGATGAATTATATAACAGCTTTTGTGAGGAGTACCTGAGAAAAAATATGTGAAAACTCTAGTTCAGATTCTGGTTCTGACCACTGAATTATACCCTATGCCTAGTTTTCCTGTAGTAACTCAACTATTTGCTCATCTATATCGCTCAGGGCTGGGGAGAGAGAGAAAGCCCCATTTCGGCAGTGCAGGTTGTTCTACTCAGTGAGCCTGTAGCTCCAGTGCATCCGAGGTGAGAGGATAACTATGCCCTCGCAGGGCTCATTGTCCACAGCCTCTCATAGGAGGCACGTTCAGGCCTCTGGTGGAATTTCTTGTGCTTAAATATCTGTTTTTCACACACCATCGCTTCCAAATGCCAGCTATTTCATTTGACCTTCACTGAGGAAGCAGGGAGCTGAGAGATGGAAGAATGAGTGACCAGCAAGGCACCTTTAGTGGATTTTTAAGAATCATCTCAACTCAGAAGTTTGCCTTATACAGACTTTCAAACCTAACCCCTGCACTTGAGACTATTCTGTTCTAGCTGAACTTAGTTAATGCTAGTTTTCCTCCTGTGTTAGAAAAGTTACTTTTCCTACATCTAGTTCAGTTCTGGTGCAGAGCAGCTGCTCACATGACTGACATGAGGAAGACAATCAGCCATCCCAGAGAATCTCAAACAACTTCACCATCTTGAATGGGCCTCAAGTCAACCATAATAATAAAGCTTCAATTAGATCTGACAACTTCTTGATCAAAAAAAGTTCATCTGATAAAT